AACGGGCTATGAGTCCCAATCCGCTTTAGCTGCAGATTAAACTCTGTGCCAGGCAGAAACGGAAAAAGACACAGAGACGGAGAGATCCATGGTGGGAGAATTAAAATCCAGAGACGGGAACAGAGACCCAGAGAAGGGGGGAAGCAGAGATCCAGGGAGAAGAAAAGACCCAGAGAGAGGAGGACAGAGACTCCAAGTCAGGGGTGGAGACATCCATTGAGAGCAATAGCCAGAAAACCAGAGAGAGGGGGACAGAGACGAAAAGAAGCCAAGGCAGAGATCTAGGGAGAAGGAGGACCCCGAGAGAAGGGAGCGGAGATCTGGAAAAAGAGAGACAGAGACCCAGAGAGAAAGGGGGCAGAGACACCCAGAAAGAGACGGGGATAGAGACCCAGAAATGGTGGGGGAGGGAGCCAAAGACCCGGGAGAAGGGGATTTACAGCACCAGAGAAAGAGTGGAGCTGGGTGGGGTGGGATCAGGAAAATGAACAGGATAATGGACAAGACTCGACCAGGACGAACGGCGCCGTCGGAGCCCATGGGAGAAAACTGGACAGATGGGTGGACCCCCATGCCGGGGTATCGCCCTCCATCTGTCAGTCTTCGCCCAGGTGGGAATTAGCATCCTCCTCGGATCCTCCCACTCTTCTCCTCCCGGGACCCCCGCCAGGCTCACCGGTGCAGCTTCCCGAGGGCACGACCCGCTAGCTTCCGAAACTCCTCCTGGCGGAACTCCATGGTGGCGGCTCCCGCAGCCGGTCACCCCGCCGGTCACCCTGCCGGACCCCCCCACCGATCCCCCCGCCCGCGGGCCCGGGCGGCCGCGTCCGGGTTCCCGGGGTCCGCCCCGGCCCGGCCGGCCCCGCAGCTCCGCTCGGGGGGAAGGAGGCTGCGAGTGCAGGCGGCCCGGGGGCTGTCACAGGACTCAGCGCCGGGGGCGGGGCGCTGGAGGCCCCGCCCCAGCCCCACCAGGCCCCGCCCACCATCTGCCAGACCCGCCCCCTCTCTCAGCCCTTTCATTCTCGCCCAGTCCCCCACTAAGCCTCCCAAGACCACGCCTCTGGGTTCCGAACTGACGCCTCCGAGTTCACGTCCCCCAATTCTGTTCCTTCCCCAAACTACTCCCCCTACCCATTCCATCCCCATGGTTCCTACCCAGATTTTTTTCTCCTCTCCTGAGTTCTCATCCCCATCATTTGTCTCCCCTACTTCTGTTCCCCCTAATTTCGCCCCGCATTTTCGTACCTTACAATCCTGTCTTCTGTGACTTTCCCTCTAGTTCATCCTCCAGTTCCTTCACCCCTGGACTCGGACACCCTCCCTGCCGCCCCAGCAATTCCATCCCCATCCCACCTCATCCCCAATTCCGACGGTCTCATCCAGGGAGTTATTTCCTTTCTCATTCAAAGGAAATTCTTTCTCCTGAAGTCTAACCCCTACTTCGATCCACTTGTCGTCCTCCCCTAGTCCCTCTCTCCACCCGGGTTCGTCACTCTTGAGTTCCATCCCCTCCTGAGTTTCCATCTTTCCCCTTTGAATCCCATACTCCTCCAGCTCTATTCTCCCTCCCGCCGCTCTCCTCCCTGTTGCTTCTCTCCCTGAGTTTCATTCTCTAACCCCTATTTCCTTCCCTCTGGCTTCCGTCCCCCACAGTTATGTATTTCACACACACCCCCACCAGTGCCAGCTGCGACCCCATAGTCCCCCCACTGTGTTATTTCCCCGATCCTATGGGTTCTGTCCGCGCTCTGAGTTCTTCCCTAGCTCCCGGGGATCCATTCCGCTATTTGGGCTCTGTCTCCACCGGCTGAGATCTGTCCCCGCCCCCTAAACTGTGATCCGCACCCCCTGGCATCCTCACCCGCCTTCTGAATTTGTCTCCTCCCTGGGGATCTCTCATTGACCTGCGTTCTGCCCCCGCCCTCTAAGTTCTCTCCCCACCCTTGGAGTTGCGTCCCCTCTTCTTAGGATCTGTCCCTGGGATCTGTCCCCGCCCTCCGAATTCTGTCCTTGGCCCCCGGAATCTGTTCCCGCCACCTGAGTTTTACCCCCTCCCAATAGCATCTTTCTCTGTCCCCTGGATCTGTTTCCGTCCACCGAGTTCTGACCCTGCCCCCCGAATCTGTTCCCGCCCTCCCAGTCCTGCCCACGCCCCATGGGATCTGTCCCTGCCCTCCGACTTCTGACCCTCCCCACTGGGATCTGCCCTAGACCTCCGAGTCCTACCCAAGCCCCGGAATCTGTCCCCGCCCACCGATCTCTGGCCCCGCCCGTGAGATCTTGCCCCGCCCCCTGAGTGCTGGCCTCCGCCCCTTGGATGTCTCCCCGCCCTCCAGTCTTGCCCCCACTCCCGGGATCTGTCCCCGGCCTCTGACTGCTGACCCTCGCCACTGGAATCTGTCCCCGCCCTCCCAGTCCTGCCCCGCCCCATGGGATCTGTCCCCGCCCACTGAACTCTGTCTCCACCCCTGATTTCCAGCCCCGCCCCTCTGGGATAGAGCCCCGCCTCTTCCCCCCGCCCCGCTTAGGTCCTCAGACCAACCCATCTCCCGGCGGTGAGTCCACCTCCAGATCCAGGCCCCAGGAGGGTGATCCTTTCCCCACTAGCTCCCCGCGTCGGGCCGCAAATGCATTTGGTATTAAATTTTCATGATGTGGCGCGCGGTGAGGTGGGAGGAGCAGGCGGCGCGGCGGGCGGGCGCCAAGGACGGGGTGGCCGGGAAGCCACTGACTGCCGCAGGCTCTCGCTTCCAGCTTTGACTGTCTAGGTCTCTGGGTCTCACAATTTTGCGAAACCCCTGGGACCCCAGAACGGAGGAGGCTGCAGGTCTGAGGCAGGAGGGAGGTAGGGACTGAGACTCCTGGGGCTGAAAAGTGTAGCGCGGGAGCCTCTCACATGCGCCACCCAGTGGCTGCAGAGTCTCCGGCCCGGGTGCGGAGGCGGTGGTTGCGGCTCCGGGCCAGGTGTGAGGGTGGAGCAGATGGTGAAGAGGAGGGAGTGGGAAGGGGGCACCGCCGCTGCCAAAAGCTGGGCCTCTGCCGAAACCATCACCATGGAAACAGAGGAAGGAAGAAAGGACCCAGCCCCACACTTTTTCGGGACCTGGGAATGAGTTACTCGGCCTCCTCCAGCGGCTCCCCCGTCCCAACTACAAGTTCCAGCGGCCTCTAAGCCTCACCGTTCGCTTGAGAAGAGCCGCGCACTCCAAGGGCCGCTGGGAGTTGTAGTTCCCTCAAACTATGAGCAGGGATACGTTGCGCCTCCTGGTGGACACAATGCCCACGTTCGCTCATTCATTCTGCGGCTGGAAAGACCCTACCCGAAGTCACTCCCATCCTGACCTCTTCCCCACCTTCTCTCCCTATCCCTCCCAATTCACATTACAGATGCATTGTGATTAGCTGCCTGCCTTCTCCCTCCTTCCCTCCCTCCCTTCCTTCTTTTTCTTTCTTTTCTCTTCTTTCTTCCTTCCTTTCCCCTTTCTCCTTTCTTCCTTCCCCTCCCTCGTTTTTCTTTCTCCTTTTTTCCTTACTTCCTTTCCCCTCCCTTCCTCCCTCCCTCCCTCCCTTCATCCCTTCCTTCCTTCCATTTTGAGGCAGAGTCTCGCTCTGTCGCCCAGGAGCAGCACACTGCAGCCTCAACCTCCCTGGGTTCCCACCTCGGGCTCCCGAGTAGCTGGGACCACAGGTGTACATCACCACGCGCCTCTAGTTCACATTGTGCTTTGAGCAGTTACTACTGAAATTCCTCCATTTATTTATGGCTCCTAGGATTCGCTAAAGAAGAAGAGAGTATTGACAATTTTTTTTTTTTTTTTAGAAAGATTTTCCCTCTTATTGCCCAGGCTGGAGTGCAATGGTGTAATCTCAGCTCACAGCAACCTCCACCTCCTGGGTTAAAGTGATTCTCCTGCCTCAGCCTCCCAGGTAGCTAGGATTACAGGCATGCACCACCACACCCGGCTACTTCTGTATTTTTAGTAGAGATTGGGTTTCTCCATGTTGGTCAGACTGGTCTTGAACTCCCAACCTCAGGTGATCAGCCTGTCTTGGCCTCACAAAGTGCTGGGATTACAGGCATTAGCCACCACCTCTGGCCTCGACAACCAGTTATTAACTCAAGAAATATTTATCAAGGCCGGTGCGGTGACTCACTCCTGTAATCCCAGCACTTTGAGAGGCTGAGGAGGGCTCATCACTTGAGCTCAGGTGTTCGACACCAGCCTGGCAACATATGGAGACCCTGTCTCTATAAAAAAATATTTAAAAATTAGCAGGGCATGGTGGTGCCTATAGGTGTACTGGAAGGAGAATACAAAGTGGCAGGAACAGCAGAAACTAAGAGATGGGGAAAAGGGTGTGGTCAGGACACTGGAGCGTGCCTGGCCTCCCGTTAGAAGAAGAGGTCAAAACTAGGCTGTGCACAGTGGCTCACACCTGTAATCCCAACATTTGAGGAGGCCAAGGCAGGAGGATCACTTGAGGCCAAGAGCTCAAGACCAACCTGGACAACATAGCAAGATCCCATTTCTTTTTTAATGCAAAATATAAAATTAGCTGGGCATGGTGGCACATGCCTGTCATCCTAGCTACTCAGGGGCTGACATCAGGAGGATCACTTGAACCCAGGAGTTCCAGGCTGCAGTGAGCTATGATTGCACCACTGCACTCCAGACTGGCAACAGAGTGACACCCTGCCGCTTAAACAAAAATGTAAGCCATGAGGCGGGACACAGATCACACAGAGCCTTGAGTGCTTGCCTGAGGGGCTTGGACCTTCTCCCAGGGCAGCTGGGGAGCTACGGGAGGGCTGTGAACAGGGAAAGGGCAGGGCCAGCTCTGGGGCCTGGGAAGGACTACCGAGGGGAGGCTGGAGGCCAGGAGGATGCAGGGAGGACCCAGGGGGAAGGACGAGGCCTAAGCTGGGGCTGTGACCTCTATGGGACTAGAGGGGCCCAGCCCAATGTTCCTTCTCCCTCCCACATATCCCCAGTCAGAGATACAACAGAGGCAAAATTTCTTTTATTTCAACTTGAGGAAAGCCAGCGGCCTCTTCTCCACATCTTGGAAGCACAGGGAGACACCCTGATCAAGAAGGCAGCGACAGAAGTGGCATGGCCACCATCAGTTGCTGAGGAGACACAGGAAAGAGAATGAGGATCCAGGACCCAGAAGACCCTGCCCCCCTCTGTCGGAGCCAGAGTCCAGGCCCCTCAGTGTCCTGGCTTCCCCTCCCCACACCAGGCACCTTTCTCTTTCGGTGGAAGGCTGCCTTGCTCTCATCAGAGTTGATCTGCAGGGGGATGTAGGCATCCAGATAATACAGCTGCTGGGGACCCCCCATCACCAGGCGGTTCTCCCCGATCTCCAGTGACAGCCCCAGGGCTCCATCCTGGAGAGGTGGTGCAATCAGGTCACCCTTCCCAGCAACAGGACAATCAGCTGGAACAGGATGGTGGCCTCACATGCTGGGAAACTATATTTGAAGGGTCTCATCTCCCAGGGAAGAGGCGAGGAAGACAGTAATTACAAGTCTCAATGACCCAGCACTTAGAATCCCTCGGGCACCCTCAGGACAGCACCGGGAGGTGGCCTGTTGGCCTCCTGGGACAGAGGACGCAGCTGACCCAAGTCCAGCAACAGTCCCTTGTCACTCTCACTCCGAGAGAGTCCTTGATCTTTCCAGACCACATTCTCCTGCTCTGGTCCAGCGGGCAGAACTCACCAGTTTGGGGAGGTCGATTTCGGCCAAGAGGAGGTCAGGAGCTTCTAGCCACAGGCTCAGGTGAGGCTTTTCAGGGCTGAGGGGGAAAAGGCCCAGGGCTGAGGACAGCTGCCAGGTCTTTGCCAGCACTGTGCCCTCTGCCTGGGGTGCTGCTCCCTTTCTCCCCCCAACCAGCCCTATTGCCCCAGGATGCCTTCCAGGTCAGGAGTTCTCTCTCATCCCTCTCTCAGTGCCCCAGGGCCCCAGGGCGCCATCCAGTGTGGGAGGATGGAGGGAGGGATTCCCAAGAGCGTTGAGGAGACATCAGACCAGGGATCTGCTGAAGGCCCACCCTGACTCAGCTCCCCGGGGGGCGGACGTGTTTAGGTCTCCCAGCTCCTGGATCCGAGGACGCTGCCGCGAGCGGATGTTCTGCTGTGAGATGGAGCCCATGAATGGCCGGTTCTTCATCATGCGCCATTCTGAGGGTCGGGAGCACAGAGTCAAACACCACACAGGTCAGGGGTGCCTGTGCTCTCAGGAGGCCTCCTTGCCCAGCCAAGAGCCTCCCGGAGTCGTGGGATCTGACCCCAGGCTTGGCTCCAGGAAGCCCGCCCACCTTAAGCACGCCCCTCCCATGATATGCCCCAATAAAACCCGCCCTTGGAGATTGTCCTGGCCCCGCCCCTTCAGGGCGTCTAGACTCCTCCCGCTCACGTTGGGAAGCTCCACCCCCTCCCAGTAGCACAGCCTCCAGGACACTCTGCCCCAGCGTGCAGGGCTGTCCCCCAAATCGCTCTTGGCTCCACTCCCTCCTGATGGCCCAGGCCCTGCCCCTCACCCGGGTTCAGCTGCAAGTTGTATTTGTCCTCAAGGCCCTCTCTCGCGATGGTGATCACGAGCTCCCGCAAGAAATCGCTGTTCTAGGGTTGACAGAGAGAGGGAAGAGGGGCAGAGGCGGGGGTGGGAGGAGCGGGGGGGAGCGGGGAAGGAGAGACCCCTGCCCAGGCCTCACCCGCAGCCCCGCCCCCAACCTGCATCCTCCGGTAGAAGTCGCTGTTGACAGCTACGTCGTAAGCGGTACAGCCCTGGCCTTCTGCGGGGAGAAAAAGGGGGTGAGGTGCCCCAGCCCTATGCAGAAAGCCCACAGCCCAGACCCAGACAGGGAAGTGACATGCAGGGACAGCAGCCGCAAGGAGCAGAGACAGAGAGACATCAGGAAGCGGGAGCTCGGCGCTCACTTTCCTCTCCGGACTCCCCCCAGCCTTGTATCTCCTTCCGTCCATCAGTATAATGTCCCTAGAGCTGACCCTGTCCCTCCCCTGGTCACAGCTCTTAGGTCTGAGCCCCGCAAGCCTGGCGTTGGAGACCCTGTGTGATGTGCCCCTCCCACCTCTGGAGAAAACCTCATTCTTCCAGCAACCTGGCCCACTGAATCTTTCACTCTCCATCACTGGCGGATCCAATCCAATCATTCCCTCCCAGCTCTAGGCGGCTCTGCCTAGAACCTTCTGTCTTTGCCAGCTGAACTCCTCCTGTTCCTTCAAATCTTATTCCACACCTCCTCCTCCTCCAGGAAGCCTTCCCTGACCCCTTCATGAGGGTAAGGAGCGCTCTCAAGGCTGTGTTGGGTGCCCCACTCCAGAGTAGCTCGAATCACGCCCTGCTGATACTGTGTCCATCTCCTGGAGTTTCTGGAACGTAGAATCCGCATTTGATACCCCCGGGGCACTGCCTAGAGCTTGGTCCCAGAAAGCTTCAAGAGACATATAGAAAAAAGGATAAAGACGCAGAAGTAGGGACAGAGGTGAGGCAAGACAGAGATGGAGACAGGGGAGAAGCACAGAGAAAACAGGATGAAACAGAGCTGCAGGCCGGGCGCAGTGGCTCACACCTGTAATCCCAGCTCTTTGGGAGGCTGAGGTGGGTGGATCACCTGAGGTCCAGAGTTCGAGACCAGCCTGACCAACATGGCGAAACCCCGTGTCTACTAAAAATACAAAAATTAGCTGGGCGTGGTGGTGTCACCTGTAATCTCAGCTACTTGGGAGGCTGAGACAGGAGAATCACTTGAACCCAGGAAGGGAAGACTGCAGTGGGCCGAGATGGCACCACTGCACTCCAGCCTGGGTGACAAGAGTGAAACTCCATCTCAAAAAAGAAAAAAACCACAACGGCCTGCTCAGGACTAAAGCCAGGAGATCCGCTAATGCACAAAGAGCACTCTGCCCAGGCCTCCAGACCCTGAGATGGGCATGGAAAAGTGCCAGCCTGCCCAGGGGGCAGAATCAGGACTGCCCAGGGTTGGGATGCCCAGGGCACTAGAGATCTACCACAGGGAACAGAATCAGATTGGGGAGCCAGATCTCCAGGAGCTGGGAGGGTCCTGGGCCCAGGATTCTTGGGTACTAGGGAAGAAAGGGCCTAGCAGGCCAACTCCTGGGTCCTCTGACGGCACTGACTCGCATCCAGCTCTGCATGAGGCTCTCCCAGACTCATGGGGATGCGAAATCCAGTTTGGTCCTCCTCCAGCATCTGAAGTAGCTCCTCCTCAGTCACATCGGCAGGAGGAGGGATGGAGGTGGAGTGACAGATGTTGATGAAAACCTTCCCTTCCGAGGAGTTGGTCTTTACGCAGAAACCTGGTGGGAGTAGGTTTGTCTTGAGAAACTTTTTCTGCACAAATCTCAGTCCCCATCCATTCTCTCCAGTCTCTTTCTCTTTTCCTTTTGCTCTGTTCCCCATTTTCTGGGCCTGCTCCACTCCCTACCCCTGAGATTCCCTCACCTTTTTTTTTCTTTTTCTTTTTTTTTTAGAGTCTCACTCTGTCACCCAGGCTGGAGTGCAGTGGTGTGATCTCGGCTCATTGCAGACTCTACCTCCTGGGTTCAAGCAATTCTTTTTTTTTTTTTTTTTTGAGACGGAGTTTCGCTCTTGTTACCCAGGCTGAAGTGCAATGGGGCGATCTCGGCTCACCGCAACCTCTGCCCCCTGGGTTCAGGCAATTCTCCTGCCTCAGCCTCCTGAGTAGCTGGGATTACAGGCACGCGCCACCGTGCCCAGCTAATTTTTTGTAATTTTTAGTAGAGACGGGATTTCACCATGTTGACCAGGATGGTCTTGATCTGTTGACCTCGTGATCCACCTGCCTCGGCCTCCCAAAGTGCTGGGATTACAGGCGTGAGCCACCTCACCCGGCTGCTTGTTTTTTGAGACAGGGTCTCACTGTGTCACCCAGGCTGGAGTGCAGTGGTGTGATCTTGGCTCACTGCAGTCTCTTCCACCTGGCTCAAGTGATCCTCCCACCTCGGCCTCCTGAATAGCTATGACTACAGGCACGCACCCACCAAGCCCAGCTAATTTTGTTTATTTTTAGTAGAGATGGTGTCTCAAGATGTTGCACAGGCTGGTCTTGACTGCCTGGCCTCAAGCAATCCTCTTGCCTCAGCCTCCCAAAGTGATGAGATTACAGGTGTGAGCCGCTGTGCCCAGCCTCTCTTACTATCTTTACTGTGTTGTTGTTTTTTGTTTTGGTTTGTTTTTGAGACACAGTCTCGCTCTGTCGCCCAGGCTGGAGTGCAGTGGCACAATCTCCGCTCAGTGCAACCTCTGCCTCCTGGGTTCAAGCAATTCTCCTGTCTCAGCCTCCCAAGTAGCTGGGATTACAGGTGTGTGCCACCGAGCCCAGCATCTTCCTATCTCCGATTCACTGTCCCCTACCTCCTTTCTGTCCTAGGGTGATGTCTGGTGGTGTCTGCGGGTGTCTGTTCACCCCACCCCTACCCCAGGCCTTTATTTGCATGTCTCTTTCCTTTTTCCCCTCTGTCTCCTGTCCCTCTCTCTCCGGGTCTTCTTTCTCACCAGGCTGAGGCTGGATTTGTGTCGATTCCGGTCTGGTTGTCTGGGCTTGCTGGAGCTCCTTCGAGGCCTGTATAAAGGAAAACTACCTCCAGGCTTGGAGTCTGTGCCATCAGACCCCTCATTGGTTCCTCAAATGGAGCAATGATTATGTATGAGAGCTGTGGATAATGCCAGAAATTAGACGGTTTGGTCCCTTTTCTCCTTTGAGGACTAGAAGAACATCTCCAACTCCACTCCCGTTTCTTAGCAAACTGGAAGCTCATCCTCAATTCCCCGAGGCCCTGTTGCCGCCCTAGTGCATTCTGGGAACTGTAGTCCCGTCTTTGAGCACCCCGCCAAAATCCCCGAATACCCGAGGATCCGGTCACTGTGCACCTGCAACAGTAGCTCCTCAAATCCCGCCGAATCAGCACCCATCGTCTCCGCCTCGCTTAGCTCCAGTGCCAGCTGCTTCGGGTTCGCCATAGCCCTGGGAAAGAGATCTAGGCGTCCTCGGGACCCTCAAGGTGGGGAACTTTGCCCAGGATCCGAACCCTGGTGCTTGCTCTGGTCCTCAGTCGACTCCGGATACCTACTACGGTGTTCAGAAACCTATGACTGGCCTGAAACTACAATTCCATTCAAGACCAAACACCGTCGTCAAATCAGTTGGGAATCTGTATCTCTAGATGCAGTCTCCGTCCTACCTTCAGAATCGTAAATGAAGCCACACTTCCGGACTCTACGTAAACACCGGACTGGAGTAAGCCACGCTTCCGAGTACCCCAACGTTCATCCACAGCCTGGTATCGCGTTATCGACAAGCCACGCCTTTCGCACCAATCAATCAAAAATAAACCCCGAGGCGAATCCCTAATGCCACACTTCCTGTGTCTATGAAAGCCACACTTCCGGCCGGGCGCCGTGGTTTATGCCTGTAGTCTCAACACTTTGGCAGGCCAGGGCAAGAGGATCGCTTCAGGCCAGAAGTTCGAGACCAGCTTGGGTACAGAGTAAGCTAACACCCCCCCCACCCCCCCCGCCCCAGCCTTATCTCTTAAAAAAAAAAAAAAAAAGCGCCACACTCCCATTCTTTCCACAACCAAGACTGGCCCCGTTACTTTGCAGTGAAGGCTGCATTTTTCAAAACCTTAATCTCCATGTCTATCCTAAAAGGCACTCTTTTTATTTTTGAATTATCACTTCGTGCCAGTTCTAGATCCAGACCCCTAGTAAATATAATTAGAATTAAAAGCTGCACTTTCGGACTGGGAGGCCGAGGTAGAAGGATCGCTTAACCCAGGAGTTCAAGACCAGCCTAAGCAACATAGTGAGACCTTGTCTCTACAAAAAAAAGTTAGCCTAGTCCCAACTACTGTGCAGGCTGCAGCGGGAGAAGCGTTTAAGCCCGGAAAGTCGACGCGTCACTGCGCTCCAGCCTGGGTGACAAAGCCTGTCTCAAGAAAATAAAAAGTAAAATACGAGCTGCACTTCCTGCTACCATAAAACAAGGCAGTAGGAAGACGCATCAACACGCCGACCCTTCTTTTTTTTTTTTTAATTATTATATTTTTTGAGACAGGGTCTTCCTCTGTCGGCCAGGCTGGAATGCAGTGGCATCAGATCAGCTCACTGTAACATACGCCTCCTGGGTTCAAATGGTTCTCCCGCCTCAGTCTCCTGAGTAGCTAAGATTACAGCCGCGTGCCACCACAGCCCGGCTAATTTTTTTTTTTTTTTTTTTTTTTTGAGACGGAGTTTCGCTCTTGTTACCCAGACTGGAGTGCAATGGCGCGATCTCGGCTCACCGCAACCTCCGCCTCCTGGGTTCAAGCAATTCTCCTGCCTCAGGCTCCCGAATAGCTGGGACTACAGGCACGTGCCACCATGCCCAGCTAATTTTTTGTATTTTTAGTAGAGACGGGGTTTCACCATGTTGACCAGGATGGTCTCTATCTCTTGACCTTGTGATCCACCCGCCTCGGCCTCCCAAAGTGCTGGGATTACAGGCGTGAGCACTGTGATCCACCGCGCCCGGCCAGCCCGGCTAATTTTTATATTATTTTTATTTTTTAATTGAGACGGGAATCTCGCTAAAAGGTTAGAGTGCAGTGACGCGATCCTGGCTCACTGCAACCTCCGCCTCCCGGGTTCAAGCAATTCTCCTGCCTCAGGCTTGCAAGAAGCCGGGACTACAGGCGCCTGCCACGACGCCCAGCTAATTTTTGTATTTTTAGTGGAGAGTTAGTTTCACCATATTGGCTAGACTGGTCTGGAACTCCTGATCTTCTGATCAGCCCGTCTCGGCCTCCCAAAGTGCTGGCATTACAGGCATGAGCCACCGTATTTTTAAGTAGAGACGGGGGGTGGGGGGGGGTTCACCATATTGGTCAGGCTGGTCTTGAACTCCCGACCTCAGGTGATTCGCTCACCTCGGCCTCCCAAAGTGTTGGGATTACAGCCGTGAGCCACAGCGCCCGGCCACACGCCGACCCTTCTAAAACCAGAACACTCATAACTATTCGCAAGGGACCCACATCGCAGGCTCCCCTTCCTCCCTGTTTTTTTTTTTTTTTAAATCTTTCCCGTTTTAAGCAGTGAGCATGCTCCTAACTACGCTTCCGGGTGCGGGACATGGGCGGGGCCCTCGCGTCCTAACGTGAAAAGTGTGGGCGTGACTGCTCGTTGTATCTCGTAGCCCCGCCCCATTCTAATTAACCCGCCCCTTTGGGTTGGAACAGGAGGTGTCGCCCTTCGACCCTCAAGGTTCCCCTTAACAGAGCGCCCGCAGTCTTCGTGGAAAGCGTTCCGGGTAGGCGATGGCTGCGACGCGTGCAGCGCCTCACGCCCGCGAGCTCTTCACCTCGCTGGAGTACGGACCGGTGCCGGAGAGCCACGCATGTGCACTGGTGAGAGCCTGCCCGGCCCGCGCTGCAGGCTGTGTTCCGCAGTCCTGGGCTTCCCGATTTTTCGCGCGGACTCCCGTCATCCATTGCGGCAGCTCAGCAGCTCCGCCTCTTTCAGTCCCCGTGATTCCCGCCGCCCAATAGCATCGCGCCCTGGGAGACGCTTCCTTGAGCGTTGGCGGTGGATGCTTCGGTGTTTTAGTCTGTTCCCATCATCCCCAGTGGTTTCTTGCCCTTTGGTCCTGAACTCTTCATGGTGTTTCCGCGGTTTTCCCAAACTCCTCTGTAAGCCCTTGTGATTCCTCAGGACCCCCTCAGAACCTGACGCGATCCCCCAGACCCCTTAGGATTATGGGGCTCCGGTGACCCACAACCCCCATTGTCTTTCTACGACTCCTCAAAACATCCTAGGGCTTCCATGGTCCTCCAGGGTCCCAGACCTCCCGGGGGACTCCCTTGATCCCCTTGAATACCCGGAGACCTTCAGAACTGCCATGGAGCCCCCGTGATACTCGTGGGGTTCATGTGACCCCATGGGAACTTTGAGGGGCCTAGAATACATCAGGACTTCCCGGTTTGTTTTTTGTTTTGTTTTGTTTTTTGAGCCAGGGTCTCACTCAGTCGCCCAAACTGAAGTGCAGTGGCGCAATCACAGCTCACTGCAGCCTCAACCTCCTGGGCGCAAGCGATCCTCCCACCTCAGCCTCCCGAGAGGCTAGCTGGGACCAGAAACGCGCACCGCCACTCCCAGCTAGTTTTTCTACTTTTTGTAGAGACAGGGTTTCAGTATGTTGGTCAGGCTGGTCTCAAACTCCTGGCTTCAAGAGATCCACCTGCCTCGGCCTCCCAAAGTGCTGGGATTACAGGCGTGAGCCACGGCGCCCGGCCACATCAGGACTTCCTGCGATTATTTGCGGCCCCTCACGATACCCTCATGGGGCTCCTATGATCCCTCTAGCTCTCATAATGCCCCATAGGGTTCCCAGGATTGTTTAGGGCCCCCCTAAAGTCCTCATGAGGGTCCCATGATCCCCTGGTGTTCCTCAGACCCTCCCTAAGACTCCCATGTTCCCTCAGAGGCCCCCAGAACCCTCATGGGGTTCCTGCAAATAAGTAGGGCACCTCAAACTTTCTGTCATTTCCCTAGATGCTGTTAGAATTCCCTCTTGGGGCTCTCATGATCCCCAGGGTCCCCAGCATCCAGCGTAAGGAGCTTAGGCTTCTTTGAACGGGAGTGCAGGAGGCCAGAGCGATGGTCCAAGTGGAAGGGACTGGATCAGAAGCCTAGCACAGCCCAGCACATGGGGAGGCCGAGACGGGAGGCTAACCTGAGCTCAGGAATTTAAGACCAACCTGGGCAGCACAGTGAAACCTGGTCTCTACTAAAATTAAAACATTGCAGCTACTTGGGAGGCAGAGGCTTGAACCCTGGAGGCGGAGGTTGTGGTGAGCCAAGATTGCACCATTGCACTCCAGCCTGGGTAACAAGAGCGAAACTCCGTCTCAAAAAAAAAATTGGGCTGGGCACAGTGGCTCACACCTTGTAATCCCAGCACTTTGGGAGTCCGAGGAGGGCAGGTCACCTGAGGTCAGCAGTTCGAGACCAGCCTGACCAACATGGTGAAACCCTGTCTCTACTAAAATATAAAAATTAGCCAGATGTGGTGGCGTGGGCCTGTAATCCTAGCCACTCGGGAGGCTGAGGCAGGAGAATCGCTTGAACCTGGGAGGCAAAGGTTGTAGTAAGCCAAGATTGCACCACTGCACTCCAGCCTGGGCAACAGAGCAAGACTCTGTCTCCAAAAAAAAATTAGCCGGGTGTGGCACTGCATACCTGTAGTCCCAGCTACTCAGGAGGCTGAAGTGGGAGGATCACCTGAGCCTGGGAGGTGCAGTGATCATACCACTGAACTCCAGCCTAGGTGACAGAATGAGACCCTGTCCCCCCCCCAAAAAAAAAATTAACTTGGCTGGGTGTGGTGGCTCACGCCTGTAATCCTAGCACTTTGGGAGGCCAAGGTGGGTGGACCACCTGAGGTCAGAAGTTCAAGACCAGCCTGGCCATCATGGTGAAACCTCATCTTGAAAAAAAAAAAAAATTGGCCTGGTGCAGTGGCTCACACCTGTAATCCCAGCACTTTGGGAGGCCGAGGCGGGTGGATCACAAGGTCAAGAGATCGAGACCATCCTGGTCAACATGGTGAAACCCCGTCTCTACTAAAAATACAAAAAATTAGCTGGGTATGGTGACGCGTGCCTGTAATCCCAGCTACTCGGGAGGCTGAGGCAGGAGAATTGCCTGATCCCAGGAGGTGGAGGTTGCGGTGAGCCGAGATTGTGCCATTGCACTCCAGCCTGGGTAACAAGAGCAAAACTCCGTCTCAAAAAAAAAAAAAAAATTAAGTTGAGGCCAGGCAGTTGGCTCACACCTGTAATAATCCCAGCAGTACAGGAGACCGAGGCAGGAGGATCACTTGCACCTAGGAGTTGGAGACCAGACTGGACAACATGGCAAGACCCCCCATCTTGATTAATATAAAAATAAAACATAGGCCGGGTGCGGTGGCTCAAGCCTGTAATCCCAGCACTTTGGGAGGCCGAGGCGGGTGGATCACAAGGTCAAGAGATTGAGACCATCCTGGTCAACACGGTTAAACCCCGTCTCTACTAAAAATACAAAAAATTAGCTGGGCATGGTGGCGCGTGCCTGTAATCCCAGCTACTCAGGAGGCTGAGGCAGGAGAATTGCCTGAACCCAGGAGGCGGAGGTTGCGGTGAGCCGAGATCGCGCCATTGCACTCCAGCCTTGGTAATAAGAGCGAAACTCCGTCTCAAAAAAAATTATAAATAAATAAATCATAAAAAGTGAAGCTGAGGTTTGGACTTGAG